ATATATATATATACACACATTCAAAAATTAATTATGAAACATATTAAACTTAAACTAATACAATGAATACAAATAATACAAAAGTGACAAAAACACAACCACCTAAAATGAAAATGAAAAATGTAAATATAAATAATTCAAAATATGAATTAATACTATAATAGTTTGGACATAATACTAAAATAACGCTGTGCTGGTTTATTAAATATTGTCTAATTGCATTAAGTTTTAAGCTAATAACATGAATGTTGCACCTGCATTTCTCCCACATTACCATGTTTAAAGGTTAAATGTGTGATTTCTGTGACTTTAGTGTCACCAAATGAGATTGCAATAATATTGACTGTTTTCAAACGGTTTCAAACACTACTTCTGTATGCAATCGGTCAAACAGACCCACTTCACACCACCGTATAAGGCAGAGCTTAACGTGTTGACATATTTCATGACATTCTGCAGAATTTTGCTTCTTGAGTTTTATTTTGAAGGCTGTGTTCTGCTTTCAGATGTGGGTCAGTGTGTCCTGCCTCCTCATGTGGGTTATGCCAAATAAAGGGCTGTAGGACAGAGAGACTGGCAGTGTGTCAAACGCTTTATCAGCTGCTGTAAAGTGTTGTGTCTGCAGCGCTCTGATATGCTCTCTATCATTTTGATATTGCATGAGATCATTTTTCCACGTTGTGTTGTTGTTGGACTCTCTTTGTTCAGACACACGGTTTCATCAGAGGTTCTTCTGGACAGATTCATGCATGTTAAAAGCAGAACCTCTCAAGAGAACATTATTTGTTGATGGAAAACGCTGCTATCATAGAGTAAAACATCAGTGTTGTTATTGTTAACAAACTAATTAAAACTAAAACTAATAAAGATTCCATTTATAAACAAACTATGAAATATAAATATTAGATAAACTTAAATAAAAAAATAGAAATGTTGCTGAAATTAAAATAAATTACTAAAACTAAAACTGGAATCAGAAAAAAATCTAACTAAATAGAAATAATAAAAACACACATTTTTTAAAACAAAACAGATTTTTTTTTTTAAAAATGAAAAACTGAAAATACACAAATATAAAACTAATTTAAAAATGATTAAATACTATAATAGTATATAAATAATACTAAAAAAGGCTCTAGATTAAAAAATAAAACAAAAACATCCATGTTTTCATGATTCTTATTTCAGACCTTAAAAATCATATTCGTAAAAAATATTTATGAAATATAAACATTAGATAAACTTACATTTGAAAAAAAGGAAGAAAATTAGAGATGTAGCTGAAATAAAATAAGTTGAAGTTTTAAAATGACCAAAACTAAAACTGGAATAAGAATAAATTACAGCTAAATAGAAATATTCAAATAAAGTAATGAAATTACTAGAAAAAAAAAGAAATGACTAAAACTAAAATAAACTAAAAACATAAAACCAATTAAAACATTATTAAATACTATAATATTATATAAATAATGCTAAAATAAGACAAAAAATAAGATCTAGATTTTAAAAAACAACATAATAATTCTGGATTCTTTACCTCAGTGGTTCTTATTTCAGACCCAGGTTATACATTGCACATATAATGGCAACTCGAATTGTTTTTTGTAAAAAAATCTAACAAAAATGTCCCTAAAATCAACACCGAAATTTTTTTAAACTAAAACTTTTGTAAATGCATGATTTAAAATGATCCCGGTGCAGCAGCATTGACTGGGACGAGACTTTGTCTGACCAATGGCAAAAGCAAAAACATTTGGCAAACCTGTCATGGTTGCAATTCAGTTCGATAATGCAAATGGTCTAATAGTGACACACTTTCCTTTTAAAGACAAATGTAAGGCATCTGGGCCACATACAGCAGAAATCTGTTCTATACACAAGCAAACACAATGACTACTGTATGTTTGGAACTGAATACTGCCAACTAGTTTAAATCTAGTATAGGCATTATGCCACAACAAACATTCCAATCAGAATTATGCTTCATTCTTGTCACATGACCTCATCACAGTGCATGATGGGTTATTTTGTATGCAGTATGCTATTCCGAACATAGCCAGATGTGCGAGAGCGGCAGAGAGCAGCGTGGGTAATGATGATGTGTGCATGTGCTCATGGGTACCTGCACTGTCTGTTTGGCCGCGCTGGCCGTTTGCTGGACCGGATCAGACCACCAGCAACCAGGACCAGACGGCACATTTAGATGAAGAGGAACCAAATCATCACAACATCATCACTGAATGAATCATCACATGATTATAATCACAATGTAAAGAGTCACGGATTACAAGAAAGAGCTGCATTCCATAAACACTTTACTTAAAGCCTTTATGCGCAATGCATTATAAAGATATTCATAATGTACATTGTAATGAATTATAGCTTTCCAAAAGTTAAAATGCATTATAATATTTGAATTATATTTTTTCCCATGTCTTTTAATGCAGTTTACTTTCTAAAGGTGTAACAATGAATAGATTATTATTCATTAGATCATACAATGCATTATAAGGTGCATTACAATGCATAATGAATGCATTAAAACTACTTTTATAATGCATGTTGTAAATAAATGCTTTAAGTGAAATGTTACTGAAAATTATTTTTCATTTGTAAAAACAAACAAAAATCATGTTTACAGTAATGCGTGCGGAGGAAATTTTATTTCTATTATTAATATTATTAGTTTTATTTGCTTTACTCTGCTAAAGAGTGGTCTTTTCTTCTCTAAATGCCTCATCTGTATGCTTGAGTTTTTCATGAGCTGAGAGAGAACAGGAAATTTATTTGATGTGTGAAAGCCAAGTGTGAGAAAGAAAATGTTAGTTTAGCTTCTTAGAAAATGATTTGCATTAAATACTTAGAAATGCATATAAGGGACATGATTGGATACCTGAAATGGACACATATGATGAATATGCATCATGATTGGATGAGATACAAGCATCCTGATTTGATTTGGTCATAAATATTGAATCAAACTTTGTGGCAGTCTACAGCCAACCCTGAAATACTGCATGCATGTAGGCCTTTTCCTGCAGGAAAATAAATCTTCAAAAGACACAACATGCGCTTATTATAAGAACAGCTTCTATTGTTGTAAAAAACCTTTTTCTTCAAGTAAAGTGAAAGTTACTGGATTCACTGAAAGTGCATGACTGTACACATGATTTCTGCTTGTTTGAGAGATTATTTATTATGCTTTCTGTGGTTATTAACAGCACGTCGCACATGCTGTACAGATGCCGGTGTTCCTTTTTTAAGGTCTGTTTGTCCAGCTCTGTGATTGATGGTGTTTTGAATGACTTTTAAAGAGAAATGTACAAGAAGAGAATAAAACTTTTAAAATGCAGAAAAACAATCAAATCTTATAGAATGCAGCTCTAATTCAGACACCAACATTAAAAAAAAAAATCAAACAAACTTGGAAATATAAAATTTCAAGTGTTTGAAAATGTTAAAGTAGTAGGCTGGACAGAATTATTAGTCAATTAGATTAAATTCTGTGTTTTCTTTTCAGTTTCATTTATTTATTTTTATCTTTTGTTCTACTAATATTAAAATCCAGTGTTATTTTAGATTTTTAGGTTAATCTCACAAAAAATGTCTGCATCACATTTTATCCGAAAAGCAAAAGAAGAAATAATATAGAAATTGTATAGAAAAATAACGTTTCAATTTCTAGGACTAAGATTTGTTTTTGCATTGCGCCACTACATATACCTTCAAAAATATTATAATAAAATATTATAATAATATTAAAATGAAAAATAAAAGCAAATGGATTGAAAAAACTATAATAATTATTATATAAAAATAATCATTTTTCTTATTTTGTGATGAAACATGATTTTGTGAGAGATCTGGCTGATTGCTGGTTTCCAGCTGTTGTAAATGAATTAATTATTCCAGTGAAATGAAGTGAGTTGTTCATGATTGTAGAGTGAAAATAACAATTGAAATGAAGAGATGGAGAGTCAGAAAAGCCATGCAGAGCAAATTAGCCAACAAGCTGCATCTACTGCACGCTCACGCTGCTGATCAATGAAAAACTATTTTAATAATAAAAAAATAAATTTCCCAATTCCCAATTTAACAAAAGTTCAATACCCTCTGTTTTCTTTGAAAGGTGACATATCATGAAAATCTGACTTTTCCAGGTTTTAAGTGCTATAATCAGGTCCCTGGTGCATCTACCAACCAAGGAAACGTGAAAAAGATTAACTCAATCACTTTGTTTAGGTAAGCCTTTTTCTGCAAGCGTCTGAGAAAACGAGCGCGTTTGATTTTGCTCACTTGGTGACGTGGCAAAGGGATCTCATTATAATATTACCACCCCTTAATCTGTAAGTTT